GGAATGGGTGAGCGAACCCCTTTTATAAAAAGTTAAAGAAAGAGAAGACGGAAAAACCAAAACTGGGGCACTTCTTGGAAATAAGCCCGGAGAATCACCAAAAAAGGCAATTTAAATGAAACCCCAGACGGGACTGAGGGGGAAAAAAAAAAAGGCCGCGGGGGAAAAATTTGGGGAAAAATCAGAGGGGGCTGCACTGGATTCCCAAACTCAGACACAGGGGGCTGCAAAAAAACCGAAAAGGGGAAAGGAGGAATGCATGGCGTAGTGAATACCCGGCCCGCAAAAACAATTTTTAAAGAACCGTTTTTCTCTCACGATAAGGGTTTTTTCCCAATTCCCTTTAAATTTATTCTCTCTCTCTCACCCTGAGAAAAAAAAATTTAATTGGGCATAAGACCCACCGTTTTAATTTTTAATAATTGGGGTTATTGTTAATTTTGAGAATTAAATCCCCTTGTTTATTTCTTTAAACCTCATTCTCTAAGGGGAGGGAAACTTTTTACAAATCGAGGTGAGTACTTTTCGGGGTACAATCCCAAAAGGGTTGGGAATAAGCACCTACCCGTAAAGTCCCGGTGTCGTTTTGGGGCTTTCTGGGAAGCAATTTCCAAAAAACCCCATCTCGGGTGGGAAGGGCGGGACAGGGGGAAAAAAACATATTTCGGAAATTTTTCCTGAATGCCCAACTGAGAGTGTTCGGCCAAGCCTACCCGAAGAAAACCAAAGAAAAAGGGGAAGAATATAATGATGCACAAAATACAGTGTCGGAATTTTTGAATTTAAGGGCTACAGGTTTTTGTTTTCCAATAAATTTTGGCCCTTGCCCAAGTTACCCATGATTGAACCTGTTTCTGCTGAAATTTTCCAAAAGTGGCCCCTTTTTCCCCTATTGTTTAAATGACAAATTTAAAAGCAGAAAAGCAGTTTTTATGAAAAATCGCCCAATGGGTAGAAAACAGGCTTTTTATGGCCCGAAAAGTTGGGAAAACCCCCCCGTGTGTATTACCTTGTCAAAATGATTATGCCCTGTTGGGGTATATGTGTGGTTAAAGGGGGATTGGGTGGGTGTTGGGGCGGGGGGAGGGGGTTTGATGTTGGTTATGCATGCAAAGCATGCATGTGTAGGGGGGAGGGAGGAAGTGGGGCCCTGTTGCAGTAGCAGTGTGGTTTTTTTTGTGGTTAGTGTAGATGGTGTATGTTTATTATGTATGTCTGTAATAGTGTGATGTATGAGAATGAGGTATGAAGGGGTGGTGGTGTGTTTAAATGGGGGAAATTGAACAATGATGTGTTATGCATTTTCCAAATGTATTTTTTCTTTTTACATCCAAACATGCTTTTGATAAGGCAGGTATCTAAAAAATGATGTTAAAAGGGGGCCCGAAGTAAAAGGGCCGAGCCTGGTGCCCAATTTGAACCCTTTGAAAAAATTTTGGGGGGTTCATTCGTTATAGGCATGGGGTTGTACAAGAAGAGGTGAAGACGGCGGGTTTTTTCCCTTAGATGCAGGGGGCCGAAGTGGATCGGCCAACAGGGGTTCATGCCTTAGAGAGATAGGCGATCATATTTGGGAGCAGGGGGGCATTAACGTTGAAAAATACAGACGGGAGTAAAGATCAGCACATGGAGGACCCCTGACATACCCAAAGTTTTTTAAACCAATATAGGCACAATAAATGTAGGGCAGATTATTGTTGAACAAAAAGAATAAGGGGGGAAATCGGGCCCTATGGTTGTGTCCGGAGTGTCAGACAATAACCCACAAAAAACCTAAACACAATCACCAAACGCCTGCGGGGTAGTGGCAATGATATCCGTGAAAACACAAAGCCCAAAGGGACAAGGGGAAGAGGGGGAACGTAACTGTGGCTAACATAAAACTTAAAGGACTAAGGGAAAGTGGGAAAACAGAAAAACTTGGGTGAAACATAAAGACTCAAAGCAAAGTGGAGAGGGAACAGATAACTGTGTTAATACCCAAATAAATTTGCAGCGATTTCAGCAGAGGGCTTGGGATTCCCGGTATAAAGTGGGCAACTCTCAACGAGCACCCAGGGCACTTCTTGTTCTCACAGTCTAAAATTAATTTTTTTTCTTCTTCACATTCACCGGGTGGAAAAATCCTGCAGAATTTTGGGTTTAGTCTTGTTTCCCGAACCCGAGTTTTTTGGTGCACACCCCTTTTCAATGAGGCTATTGTATCCAGACTGTAGGTTTTTTACCCCCAGGCATAAATTTAAATTTTTAAATTCTAAGGAAAAAACCCCCAATTTTTCAAATTTTAAAAAAATTGGGGGTGGGGAAAAAGGGGGGGAATTGGGAAAGGGGGGGTTTAAATTTTTTTACCCCCCATGAAGGGGGCCCCCCGGGAAACCCCAAACCACCACTTTTTCTTCCCCCAAAACCTCAGGGGAGGGTGATGCATTTAGGCCCTTGGGCATGACCCCAAAAGGCCTGACCAAAAAGGGGTGAAAATGGGTGCTCATGGCCCGAAATGACACCCAAGGCCTGCCATTAAAAAGGTGGACAGGTGAATCGGCCCGAACATTTAAAAGGCTGACATGATGTGGGGGGCCGGGAAAAAATAGGGACATGGGTGCCATGATGGCCTGACAGCAAAAATGGCCCGACATAATAGGCTGGGCATGATGAAAGATGGCCTGACATGAACAATTTTGGAGGGCCAAAAATAGGGGAATATGCAAACATGGCCTGAATAATAGGCGACATGAGCAAAGTGGCCTGACCCTAAAAGGGTTAGACATTTATGCCAAAGATTGGGGGGTGACATGGGCACAAAAGGCCCCCGAA